AGACAGGCCCCAGACCATAAAGGGCTTTAAAGGTCATAACCAGCACCTTGAAGCGTATCCGGAACGCTATTGGCAGCCAGTGCAGCGCCCTCAGCACCGGCTGGATGTATTCCCTCACAGAGGCACCCACCAACAGCCTGGCTGCGGCATTCTGTACCAGCTGCAGCCTCCGAAGTTGCCCCAAGGGCAGCCCCATGTAGAGAGCATTGCAGTAGTCCAATCTCGAGGTGACCATCGCGTGGATCACTGACGCCAGATCCTTGCGTTCGAGGAAGGGGACCAACTGCCTAATCAGCCGTAGATGGTAAAAGGCTGCCTTGGCAGTGGCTGCTACCTGGGCCTCCATCGTCATGGAGGCATCCAGGAGCACTCCCAAACTCCTGACCCTCGGAGCTGGCACCAATGGCGCCCCACCGAAGGCCGGAAGTGGGAGCCCTAACCCCGTTATGCTAATGAGTTCCCCTAGCTCTTTTTCTACGAAACGGCCCCTGGGGCTGAGAGAGCTCTTTCCAGAACTGTCATTGAGAGAACAGCTCTTGTCAGAACTACGGCTTGCCCAAGGTCATCCAGCCAGGTGCAAGTGGAGGAGTGGGGAATCAAACCTGGTTCTCCCAGATTAGAGTCCGCGCACCTCACCACTACACCAAACTGGCTCTGATTCCACTGAGGTCCCTCACTTCCCCCGGCTTCCCCCCCCCCCCGTAATCTCCCTACCCAGAGCAGGCAAACCTACTTGGAGGGAGCAACTGCCCCACAGCAAGTTTTATGACTGAAGGAGAACTTGATTCTCTGCTGGCCAAGTGCAGTATTTAGCTGCACACATGTATGTACACTCTCTCACACACACTATATGTATTCTATATACTATCCCGCCCTTCCTCCAACAGATAAGAGTAGCATACACGACTTCCCTCTCTGCCCTCCACCCTACCCTCAGGATATGAGACAAACAGCTTTTCGGCAGGCTTTCCATTCCTTCCATCTCTTATTCAAGGCCATGGCTCCTACCTGTGCCAAGCAGGATGCTTCGAAGGCGGGGAGGGATTGCTCACCTAGGTGAGAAATCCCTTCCTGCCCTTGTGGCTTCCGTCCCACCTTAGCTGCTGAGCCTGCTGTTCGGGAACAAAACAGAGCACGGCTACAGGTTGGTATAAACAGCAAGTCAGTGTGACTGGGGAAGAGTTGGAATAACAGCCTCTCCAGCTATATGGCCAGACTCCCTCCCCCAAGCCCTTTATGGCTTTAAAATCAACCCTACCGCTTTGAATTGGGCTCAGTAACCAACTGGAAGCCAGTGGAGGCTGAGCTGAAACACTGCTTTTGTAATAGTAATTCACAGGGTGACTGAATTGTCCCAGTCCCTCAGCTGCCTCCCACCTCAAACATGTTGGATCAGGCCAATGGCCCATCCAGTCCAATACTCTGTGTCACACAGTAGCCAAAACCCAGGCACCATCAGAAGATCCACCAGTGGGGCCAGAACTCCAGAAGCCCTCCCACTGTTTCCCCCCCAAGCAACAAGAATACAGAGCATCAGTGCCCCAGATATAGTGTTTCATCTATACCTTGTGGCCAATAGCCACTGACGGGCCCCTGCTCCCATATGTTTATCCAATCCTTTCTTGAAGCTGTCTATGCTTGTAGCTGCTACCACTTCCTGCGGCAGTGAATTCCACATGTTAATCACTCGTTGGGAGACGAAGCAGTTCCTGTTATCTGTCCTAAGCCTACTGCACACTAATTTCACAGACTGCCAACAAGTTCTTGTATTGTGAGAAAGGGAGAAAAGCATTCCTTTATCTTCTCTATATCCCATGTGTAATCTCCATCTTGTTAGGATGAAGTTTCTGTTTGCTTGCCCTCATCCAGTCCAACATGGATTCCAGGACTGTTAACTGGATCCTCTGTCTCTTTAGGCTTCAGTCAAAAGTACAGGAAAAACTAGTTTCATGTAGATGTTAAACAGCAATCAGAGATGGAATGAAACTTTGCAGGATCCCCCCCAGGCTCTGGGCAAGACCAGCCATCTCTTAATACCGTCTTCTGGATCAGAACCACAGACTAGAACCTAGAAGGAAACCATAGCTGATAGAAACCCTATATGAGAGGTCCATGAGAACAGGGACATATTCCCCCCCCCCAATCTTCTAGAACAGGGAGTCAGCTGAAGCCGTTTCAGTGCCAAAGCCAGGTCTGGAGTGCAACTCAAAAGGATCATCAGTATCACCCCAAAAGCTGCTATCTGTTGTGTTCAGACTGGCTGCTTCCAGAGCTCCCATACATGGAGTACAATTAAGCCCCCTAAATGACAGCAAGTCAAATTTACGGATTAATTCCTTGCACTATGGCAAGCTGGCTCGAATCATTGGAATGCTGGAGCGAATATTCTTTCCCCCACAGGAATTCACTTCATTTTGGGTTTTTTTGTATTTTTCATGTGTATGTGTGTATGTGCACTTGGAAGTCATGCTCTGGTGACTGACCCCTGCTGGGGGTCTGGAGGATATTCCAGAGCTGGCCAAAGCCTGCCCCCACCTCCCAGCTGCTGGTATCCCAAGGAGGTCTCCCATTCAGTTTGTTGAGTCCATTCTTTTGCGTTCTCTCTGGTCATCTCTTCCAGAAGCCAAAAATGCATATTAACGCCCCCACAGCTCCCTTCCCTGAAAATCCATCCCCAAACCATCTCATTTTTAATCTGGAGTAGCCCAAGAGGCGCTCCCTCCCCCCCGAATGATTCTAAATACCAGGAAGCAGAGTAGACTAGTTTCATTAAAATGAACACTGGCAAGGAAATTTTATATATATAATTTTTCTGTTTGGAAGAAGGAAGGGGACTGAAACGCCTGTGGAATTGCTGCGCCCAGGTCTCACACAGGCATGGGTTTGCTGCTCCCATAGCACTTGTATTCCGTCTCATACATGCCTGGTACGCACATGATCTCTAGCACAGGCACCTTGTAGGAGACCGTCGGTGGCCGCTCCACTGGGCAGAAGCGGTCCCACGTGCGCCGGTGGTCATTGGGCAGTTGGTAGGACTCCTGTGTCAGGCTGCGTAGGCCCCGGTGTGGCACGGGGGCTGTGCTGGGTGCCAGGCGAGGCACCCGGGTGCCGAGGTGGAACAGGCTGACGTCCCGCATTGGCCCAGGCACCCGGATCAGAGGATAAGTATCCCGGCCCTGTTTCGAATCATCCTTTCGGGCGTAACCTTGTAGTTGCTTCCTGCGTAGGAATGGAGAAAGAGAAAACACACATGTGGTAAAAGCAGCACTCCTGATTTCTGTAGAAGAGGAATAATGCTTAGCCTGTGGTGTTGGAAAAAAGAACACAGAATGTGATGCTAGTGTCAGTGCTAAGAACTCCCCATTAAAAAAAAAAAATCAAGAGGAGGAGGAGATTGGATTTATACCCCGCCTTTCACGCGGAGTCTCAGAGTGGCTTGCAATCCCCTCCCCCTCCCCACAACAGGCACCCTGTGAGGTAGATGGGGCTGAGAGACCTCTTGAGAGAACAGCTCTGAAAGAACTTGTGACTGACCCAAGGTCACCCAGCAGCTGCATGTGGAGGAGTGGGGACTCAAACCCAGTTCTCCAGGATTAGAGTCCGCAATCCTAACCACAACACTTAGTCCCTAGGAGGAGAAAGACAAGCTCAAAACCCTTTGAGCAATAGCTAGTTAAAATGTCAGGAGGGCAAAAGAATACGTATGCTGGTGTGAGTAAGGTTTCCAACGGTCAGAGGGTGGGGTGTTTGCTACCTATAGAATGCTGTGCAGCCTACCAAGGATAACAGAGACCAGATCAGTTAAGCAAAATGTTAAAGAATAACAATTTAGCCTAATGGACTGGCACCCTGAGAAACAAATGCATGCAGACCTGGGCTGCAATCACACACAGGCTAAATAATCCACTTTTAATCCGCTTTCAGTGCACTTTCCGTCTGGATCGTGCCAGTTCACACAGTAAAACCCAGTTGGGAAAGTGCACTGAAAGTGGATTATTCAGTGTGTGTGACTGCAGCATTAAAAATATTTCTTTTTTTTAAAAAAGCATTAAAAGTCAGAGCTCCTGAATTAGGAGCAGGTCCAACAGAAACGTCTGTGAAGAAACATGAGAGTGGGAAGCATGGGCAGAGGAAAGCAACCGATCGCCACCTACTGAGTGAAGGGTCGGAAGTCCTGGGTGGTGATGGACACGTAAGGGTCGTTGAGCCGCAGCACAGCATTGTCACGGACGTAGAAGGGAATTCCCGCCAGCTCTTCATTCCTGGTGCTGGGCACGATGGACTGTAAGGGGTCAAAGCCACCATCGGAGGACGAAGCCTCACCGCCACTGCTCCCTTCCCTGCAGAACCACCAGCTGAGGTGGCCCACCCCCAGCCCGCCCTTTGAGCATGCGCAGATGACTTCTCGGTATGTTGGGCCGGGAAAAAAAAAAAGGAATACTATAAAAGGGAAGTACAGTGTGGAAAGGACCACGGAAATCCCAGTGCTAAGAGCAGGCCTCCATTTTGCACTTGTGCCGGGCTGTGCTTTTAACATCACACGTACACGCCCAACCACACCCCAGGCTTACAAAGAGTACTGAAAAATCATTTGTCCCGATACAGTCTTGACCTGTTTCACTTTTACCCCACCCTGCCTCCCAGGAGGCCCCTCCTCCTTTGAGCCTCACAACAGCCCGGTGAGGTAGCTTTGCTATTTGATACGCAAGCAGAACGGGCACTTGCAGAAGTGGATTTTTTGACTGCCCCCTTGACGTTCCACAGTGTAAGGGGGAGATCCGTAAAAACTGCCTAGCCACACAGGACCTGAGCCATTGCTGGGCTCAAAGTCAACCAGTAACATTTATGACTTGGTGGGGATTTGAACGCAGGTCTCCCTGATCCAAGTCCAACACAGCCTCAAAAAAACCTACGTGGGAAGATTGTGTATATCTAAAATAGAAGAGAACTTGCCCTGACCTGGATAGCCTAGGCATGCCCGATCTCGGAAGCTAAGCAGGGCCGACCCTGGAAAGTACTTGGAAAGGTGACCTCCAAGGAACACCAGGGTCGGGACGCAGAGGCAGGCGATCGAGCCACCTGTCTGAAATGTCCAAACCCCACTAGGGGTCGCCATAAGTCGCCATGACTTCCAGGCATGCAAGCACGCACACAATAACCTCCGCCCCCAATAAAATAGAAGAGAACTCCATGGGAAGCTATGTGAAGGAGCAGATTCGACCAAAGGAAGCATTAGATGTGGGGTGCCCTCCTTTGAATGTGGTGCACAAGCCACTTGGGTTGCCAGTCTCCAGGTGGCGGCTGGAGATCGCTCCTGCTGTTACAACTGATCTCCAGGTGACAGAGATCAGGTCCCCTGGAGAAAATGGCTGCTCTGGAAGGTGGACTCTATGGCATTGCACCCCCTGGAAGGTCCCTCTCCTGCCCTCCTCAGGCCCCTCTCCCGAAACCTCTCCAGCCTGGAGCTGGCGACCCTGTGAGCCACTCACCTTGGATGCCCCCTCAGTATGATGAGCAGCCAACCCAAACGGTTGAGGTCCGGCGTGAAAGGTGGGGTCGTGCGGCAGATTGGGCCAGCCAGAGTAGCGATCTCTCATCTCACTCTGCTGGTTAGCCATGGTCAGGGGGAACCTCCATGCCCTCTGCTTCAGCTGTGAAGGAGAAGTTGGGGTATCACGGGGAAGAGTCACAGCCAGGGAAAGTCTCCGTGACGGAGGACGCATTCCCACTGCATCGCCGGCTCAAGGGTTTCAAGAGTCAGGTGATGGGGGAGATTGTTCTCTGCCCCAAGAGAACCTGCAGAGTTACCTGTAATTCGGTTGGCTGGTCCTAATAAAAGGGATAATGTGGATCGTGATCTCAGTTTTCCAGGTAGTTTCTTTTGGATCAGCACGACTGAAACTTCTTACCGTCTATCAGAGTAGACCACACAGAGCTAGATGGACCTAGCTGTCAGATTTGGCCACGGGAAGAAACCATTTGTTACTTCTTGCTCCCGGAATGCCAGGCGTGCAACCTGACCCCAGCCCCATTTTAGATCTTCCACACCTGCTTTCTCCCCTTCCCCCCTTTTATTTATTTTGTAGCACGCAACCTGATGAATACTTCTGGTGAACTCACAAACTTGCACTCTGTCCTCTGTTCTTTTGGCCCCTCCTAATAAAAGGTACGCCCTCGACCTGGATAGCCCAGCCTAGCCCGATCTGGTGGGAGACCTCCAAGCAGTGTTCCCTCTAAGATGAGTTAGTGTGAGCTAGCTCAGTTTTTTAGCCTCCAGCTCACACATTTTAATTTTAGCTCAGGAAGGATGGCTCCAGAGTAAACTAAGGCCCCGGTCACACGAGCGGGATAATCCAGAGGCGAAGTGAGGCTGTTTAACCCGGAGCAAACAAAAGCATGGTACCTTGGTCACACGGTCCCCAGAGCTTCCGTGGTTCGGCAGTCAGGGGCCGATCACACTGCAGTGCAGACGCATGGCAAAGAAGCGGCACGGCGCAATGACAAAAGCGATCGCAAGCCACCGCTTCCGGAGCAGGTGGGCATTCCCCCCCCCCCCAACAGAGTCTATGCATGCGCATGATTGAGGGAGCGAAGTTCCATGGCATAATGCAGCGCTGCTTTCGGTTTCGTGTTTGTGCGCAGATCTCTACCTGTGCGCATCGTGCGCCGGCATAAAAATAACGTCCGCGATCACATGCCCGCCGATGCCCTACGTTTTCCGGATACTAGTAGGGCTTCCCCAGTAGTTTTTGACTCCGCATTTTTTGCTGGAAGCCACAGGTTAGCCACGGGTGCGCTACACTTGCCAGATGTTGTGGTGCGATCACGCACAGATAACCCGCCTGGCATCCGTGGCTCTCCTGTGGAAAATTCGTCGTGTGAACGGGGCCTAATTGATGCAGTAGCCAAATCGCTCACTCACATCTTTAATGCCAGTAGCTCACAGTGTAGAATTTTTGCTTACAAGACTCCATAGCTTAGAGGGAGCGTTGCCTCCAAGCAATACCAGGGTCATGAGGCAGAGGTAAAAAGGTAAAGGTAAAGGTTCCCTTGCTCAAAAGCCAGTCGAATCCGACTCTAGGGTTGCGGTGCTCATCTCCGTTTCAAAGCCGAAAAGCCAGCGCTGTCCGAAGAAGTTTCCGTGGTCATGTGGCCGGCATGACTAAACGGAACGCTGTTACCTTCCCACTGAAGTGGTACCTATTTATCTACTTGCAATTTCTTGCTTTCGAACTGCTAGGTTGGCAGGAGGTGGAACTAGAGACGGGAGCTCACGCCGTCATGCGGCACACTCGGGTCTCGAACTGCTGAACTACTGACCTTCCACAGCCTGCAGTTCAGCGTCTTAACCAGTTGAGCCACCGCAGTTCCTGAGGCAGAGGTAGGCAATGGCAAACCACATCTGAATGCCTCCTGCCTTGAAAACCCCAACGGGATCACCGTAAGTCAGCAGTGACTTTATGGCACTTTCTACCACACCAATAAAACCTACGGAGAGGGAAGTCAGCACAGTCAGATCTCAGACACTAAGCAGGGTCGGTACTTGGAAGGGAGACCACCAAGGAAGGCTCTGCAGAGGCAGGCAACAGCAAACCACCTCTGCTTCTCACTTGCTGAGGCCGTCACTATGAGTTGGGTGCAACCTGATGGTACTTTACACGTAATAATAGGTTTTACAGGATGATTCTCTTTTTGCTCGATTGGCCTGGGGGCTGCAGTGGCTCAAGTGGTTAAGACACTGAACTGCAGGCTGTGGAAGGTCGGTAGTTCAACAGTTCGAGACCCGGGTGCCGCAAGATGGAGTGAGCTCCCGTCTCTAGTTCCAGCTCCTGCCAACCTAGCAGTTCGAAAGCAAGACATTGCAAGTAGATAAATAGGTACCACTTTGGTGGGAAGGTAGCAGCGTTCCGTGCGCCTCGGTGTTTAGTCATGCCGGCCACATGACCACGGAAATGTCTTCGGACAGCGCTGGCTCTTCGGCTTTGAAACGGAGATGAGCACCGCAACCCTAGAGTCGGATTCAACTGGCTTTCGAGCAAGGGAACCGTTACCTTTACCTTGGGGCAGTTCCATTTGTTTCTATTGCATAATCAAAGAACTGCCATTTCAAATTCTAAGCCCCCTCCCCACACACACACCTTTCTCTCCTGTTCAAGATCTCTCTGAGCTTTAGGAAATCTCCTGGGCAACAGCATCTCCATAAGAAGCACATGCAAGAACACCTCTTCAAGATGCCGCCAGACTGCTGTTTATCTTACTTTAGACCTCACCAAAGTTCCCTCTAAGCTGTGGAGTCTTGTGAGCAAAAATCCTACTTTGTGAGCTGCTGGCATTAAAGCTGTGAGCGAGCGATTTGGCTACTGCATACGTTAGTTTGCTCTGGAGCCCTCCTTCCTGAGCTGAGACAAAAACTTGTGAGCTAGGGGCTAAAAAACTGTGAGCTAGCTCACACTAACTCAGCTTAGAGGGAACGCTGGGGTCACCTCACTCCTTTGCAAGCGGGCACCCCTACTCCCAATTTCTTCACTTGCCTGGGGAGTCCCACTGAACTTGGTGGGACTTACTCCTGAGCAAGCATGCAGAGAGGTATGGTGGAAGTTGCCTACGACCCCACCCCACCCCACCCCCTTCTCTCCTTAACAAAGCTGCCCTCCTCTTAAGCCTGTGCGAGGACCCAGGCGTCCGGGTTCCAGACTTGCCCCAAAGAATCCGGTGCCGGCACCTCCCGGGCCAAGAGACAGCCCACCCCCGCCCCTACCTTCTCTCTCAAATCTTTATTGTAGTGAACGGTCCAGTGCAGGGCGGCCACAGAGTGGCGTGGCTGAGCCAGAGGCCCCCCGTGGGTCTTTGGGCCGTGGGCGAGTTGCTTCGTGGTCGTCAGCCGTGGAATGACTTCGTCTCGCCATACTTTCTCCGAGGCCGGGGGCAGCGGCTCGTGGATCGTAGACTGGTGAAGAGGAGAAGGGGCGGTTGAGGGGGAGCAAGGAGAAGAACCATGGTGGTGGTGGGGGAAGGTGCATGGATCCAACCTGAGCCCAGGTGTTCCGGCGTCCGTGCACCCAGGCGTCCGGATCCCAGACTGTCCCAACCCTCCACTAGACGTCTCGTGGCTATGGTTGCCAACCTCCTGGTGGCACCTGGAGACATCCCGCCATTACAACTGATCCCCAGAGGACCAAGATCAGTTCCCCTGGAGAAAGTGGCTGCTTTGGAAGGTGGACTCTATGGCACTGTACCCAGGTGAGGTCCCTCCCCTTCCCAACACCCCAGGCACCACCCTAAAAATCTCCAGGCATTTCCTACCCTACAGATGGCAACCCTACTCGCGGACCAACCCAAAGCCCCGTCTCTCCCAGCCCTCCCCCCTGCCACCGAGTCCCACTGCTCCGAACTGCACCGAACCAGGCCCGGCAGGGTGAGTGAGTGCCCCTGGACGGGAGTTTGCTCACTCTTGCAAAAGGGGGCGGGAAGGGCAACGGGAAGCCGTAATCCAGCCCCACTCCGCTGCTGGTCAGCCTCCAGTCTTGCCTGCGCCCCCGGCTGGGCACCAGCAGTCCGGAGTCCGCCTCCCAGCCGAAGGGGAAGGCGGTGAACGTGCCCGCCATGCCCCGCTCTGCATTTGGGGCATGGTGCGCGGGGCTGTGGCTCAGCGAAGGGCTGTTGCCGCGGGCGCCGGGCGAGGGGCGGGACGAGTGGAACGTTTGCGACAAATGTTGCTATGGAGATGGAACGCTGAGGGGCCGGGCGTTCTATCCGGGCCTTCCGGATTCTCTCCGACAATTGCTGCTGGGGGCCCGGGTGGGTTAGGTCAAGGGGAGGCCTGGCGCTCTCCGGGCAAGAAGACGTGAGGGTTGTGGCTGCTTAGACGCCTGTCGGGTGGTCTTTGTACAAGAACTCTATAAGGCAGAACAAGCCCACTTCCTCAGTTCCTGTAAGCTTTTGGTGTGCAAGCACACTTCCTCAGCTCCACTGTATCTGAGGAAGTGTGCTTGCACACGAAAGCTTAAACCGTGAATAAAACTTTCATCTTGAACGTGCCACTGGACTCAGACGTTGTTCTGCTGCTTTCAGACCGATACGGCTACAGCACCTTGATCTAGCTCTGTAAGGTAGCCCATTATGATTCTCCTTCTCTTGAAGATGGAGGGCTTAGGGCCACCTTGGCGGTTTGAAAGGTTCTGCAGTGTTTCAAGCAGTACTTGGGGAAGCTGGAACTGGCAGCCAACAGCTGCAATAGATGCATGCACGCCTATCAGATAGCATCTGTGAGATTGCAGCGCCTCCTTCCAGGCCACCACCAGTGGAATTTTTATTCCCCCCCCCCATTCTGAGGAGTGTGTGCATTTAAAGAATGTGTACTGTAATCAGTCCTTTCTTAAAAACAAAAACAAAGACTATGCTCTTCGTGTCCCTAGAGATAAATAATATTCTCCCATGCCCATGTGTGAATCTGATTTTAATATTTTTTCCTTTAAAATATTCAGTAATAGGTAGGAGCTTTTCAGTGTATGCAGGGAAGTCCATATTTAGCATGGTAGCGCCTTAAAAACCAAAACTAATTCCCCTGACCTGGATAGCTCAGGCCAGCCCAATTTCATCAGATCTTGAAAGCTAAGCAGGGTTGATTCTGGCAAGTACTTGGATGGGAGACCTCGGAGGAATACCAGCAGTTGGGAGGTGGGGGCAGGCTTTATTCAGCCACCTCTCTGAATATCCTCCAGGGTACCACAGGTTGCCATGACTTCCGTGCGCATACACATACATGCACATATGATTTTTTTTAAAGCAACAAAACCAACCCTAAAAAACAATTAAAATAAGTCTAAAATGCAGAACAAAGTTTGTGTCCAGTGGCACCTTTAAGACCAGTAAAGAGCTATTCAATGTATAAGCTTTTGTGTGCAAGCACACTTTTTTAGATACAGTGAAACAGAATTTCCTCAACCATTACATATAGGTAGGAATGGGGGGGTTAGTTGCCTGGAAGGGTCAAAGTATAAACTTTCATGTGCAAGCACACTTCTTCAGATACGGTGAAACAGAGTTCCCTCAACCATTACATGTAGGTAATGGTAATAGATAATATGTAACGGCTGAAGAAATTCTGTTGATCTTAAAGGTGCCACTGGACTCAAACTTTGTACTGCTGCTTCAGACCAACAGGGCTACCCACCTGAAAATCTAAAATGCAACTCTTTTCAAAGAATAAAGACTTGCCATTTCCCTTCCAGCCATTAGGTGGCAGTCAAAGACAGAGAACGCTTAAATTTCTGAAGGTCCAGGTCAACTACTGTTTTGTTGAGTTCTGGAATAGAGTCTGGTCTGACAGGACAGGAGGGACTGCTTGCAATCCCGTTCTAATGTCCAAGCCTCTTGCTTTCCGTAGCCACAAGAGATGGAAATCATTCAGGACACTGGAACAAAGTTTGCGTCCAGAGGCACCTTTGACACCAACCAAGTTTTATTCGAGGTACAAGCTTTCATGTGCGCGCATACTTCTTTAGATAACAATGAAATGGAAATTACCAGTCCATACATATAAGTAGAGGGTGAGCAGTAAATTAGCATACAGCATAATGAAGATGTTTAACAGATTCAAGGATCAAACAGGAATAACAAGCTTAGTTTATATGGTTCCCATTTGGTTGGGGACGGGGGACGGACATAAGTGAAGGAAATAAATATGTCAAAATTGGAGATTGATGGGCAGATGTGTCCTTAATTGTGAAATGCCGAGAGTAATTAACTGAGACCCTGCCATTACGCTTCACACATCTCCTTGCAGCATCTTCTTCTTTGAAGCAGGGCGATCGGCTGTGTAGAGTTATCTCCCCTGTCCCCAGACCAGAGAAATACATGCCAATTTACCATTCCAAATTGCACTACATTCTACTATTCTGGAAATCAAGTTGCATGCCTTTGGATTTTTAATCTGCCCCTCATGGACACACATTTCTCCATAGATGAGGGAACCCTCCCACCCAGCCCTTCCAAGCCCTGCGTTCACTCATCCTTAGCACTTTCCTGGGAACTAATTTATGTATATTTATTTATTTGCCTATTTACTTAACTTCATGTATATCCTGCCTTTCTCCCCAATAAGGATCCAAAGCAGCTGACATTGGTCTCCTCTCCTCTGTTTGACTCTCACAACAATCCTGTGAGGTAGGCCAGACCGAAAGTGTGTGATTGGCCTGTGGTCATGCAGAAAGCTCCCATGGTAGAGCAGGGAATTCAAATCTGGGTCTTCCCAAATTCTAGTCTGACATTCTGTAACCACTACATCATGCTGTCTCCGTCCTAAGAGTGTTGATGCAGGATTCTTTACCGCTGCTTTGCCCTACTGGTCCATCTCCAGTCAGCAACAGGTTGACAGCTGGTATAAGAACATAAGATGATCCTGCTGACTCAGAGCAGTGGTATACCCAGCATCCTGTCTCACACAGAGGCCAATCAGTTCCTCTGGAGGGCCAACAACAGGGCATAGAGGCCAAGGCCTTCCCTTGACATTGCCTCCTGACACTGGGATTCTGAGGTTGATTGCCTCTGAAAGCAGGGGTTCCCCTCACAACCATGGCTAGTAGCCACTGATAGATTTAATCCTCCATGGATCTATCTAATCCCCTTTTAAAGGTGTTTATTCCCGTGGCCACCACTACATCCTCGGGCAGCGAATCCCACATTTTAATCACTCTGTGGGTGCGTTCAGACGGGGGCTTTCTGCCGGCATAAACTGCGATCACACTTACCCTCCATTTTGCGGATCCCTTCAGTGTACGCCTGGTCACACGCTGCTGGCGTCGGCGTGTTTTTTTAATAAAAAAACCACCGTTTGAGCATGCGCATAGGCAGCCATTCACAGAATAGTGATCTTTGCGCATGCTCAAACCCCCCCCCCCATTACATTTAAACTTTAAAGGTAAAGGACTTACCTTTAAAGTTTAAAGCCCAAACTGGCCTCCCTTAAGTCCCGGACTCCTCCGGGAAGTTAAACTAAGGGCTTCTTCTTCTTCTTTTTTAACAAACGCTCAGGGCGAAGCTTCGCCCGAGCGCATATCGCTTAGAGTAAAAAAAAAAAATGGCGGGGGGAAAGCCGGAAGCCTCAGGCTTCCGACGGAAATGGCTAGGCACCGGTGGAGAGCGATCAGACGCCGGTTTATATCGGAAGCCACCGTTGCACTCCGGATACCACCACTTGGGACCTAGTGGCAGAGTGCAACGGTGTAAAGGGCTTTACACCGGTTAGGGACAGGAGGCAGATGTGCCCCGTCTGAACGCCGGTGAGTACAACGGTTGGAACCGGCACCCTAACTGATGTAAAGCCCCCGTCTGAACGCACCCTCTGTGTAAAGCAAGGTTTCCTTTCGTCCATCCTGAATCTGCTGCCCATCAGCTTCATTGGATGCCTTCAAGTTCTAGTATTTTGGGAGAGGGAGAAAAATTTCTCTTCGGTCAACTTTCTCCACCCTGGGCATGATGTTATAAACCGCACTCAGCTCCCCCACCCCCCCATTGCCTCTTTTCTTAAACTGAAAAGGCCCAGACTCTTCAGCCTTTCCTCACAGGAAAAGTGCTCCGACCCCCTAATCCGCTTGGTCGCCCTCTTCTGACATCACCTGTAGTTCCTCCCCGCCCCGCTCCCATTCACCCTGACTGAGGCTGTGCCACAGCAACTGAAGGCGAGGGAAACAATGTCTTCCTCTTGGACTCGAGCCAGAGAAAAGGATTGCTAGGAGGGCTAGTGTTGTGTCCGCGGACCGCCACTGGGCGCCTGCGATACAGCAGAGCTTGAGTCCGGAGAACAATGGGGACCAGGCTCCTGCACCCTGCCTCTAGGGGAACCAATGGGACATTGGCGGGAGGTTTGAATGGGCAAATGGAAGGTTCCCCAGACTGTATATAAGCGGCCGGCCGGCCGTTGGTGGGGGTGCGTGTTGTGTACTAGTAAAGTGTGCAGTGTATCATGCGTGCCTTAGCAATTCTTCCATGTGGCTAACCCACTACACAACAGCTAGAGAGCCCTCCTGGCAACCCTAGAGATGCAGGGAAACATGACTCCATCGTTCCCATGGCTGACTGTACAACCAACTATTACCTGGGCATGTGCAAGCTTCCGTACAAACACAGGACGTCCCTTCCCGGAAGCCAGCCCTGGATGGTCTATGCAGGGTTGCCAGCTCTGGGTTGGGAAATACCGGGAGATTTTGGGGGTGGAGCCTGAGGAGGGCGGGGTTTGGGGAGGGCAGGGGCTTCAATGGGACACAATGCCGTAGACTCCACCCTCCAAAGCAGCCCTTTCCTCCAGGGGAACTGATCTCGGTCGTCTGGCGATCCACTGTAATAGCAGGTCCCCAGGTGCCACCGGGAGGTTGGCAACCCTAGGTTTATGGCCAGAACCAATTGCGCTGTGTGAGAGATTCGGTTTCTTGCAGAAAGAGACATGGAGGGAGAGAGGTGGCGTAAGCTTTATTTCCTGATTCTCGGCCAAGGCATCAGGAACTGTGACTCGAGCAGCCACCGGTACGTGGGACGGGGAGGGGAGCTGGGAGCTGTGCCTGGATGAGCCGCGAAGACCGCCGCCCCCCTTCTCTTCCTCTCTACGTCG